GAGCTCGTCAGGGTGCTCGAGGCGGCGGCGCCCGGCGACGCGAAGAAGAACGCGGAGCGTCTGCTCCACCGCTACTACGTCTTCGTCATGGGCATCTTCGAGCTCAACGCGAGCGCGCGCGGCGCGCCGGCGCGCATCGTCGGCGTCGGCGCGGCGTCGTCGAAGCTCTGCGACCGCTTCTGGTCGACGCTCTCGAGCGTCGACGTCATCGGCTGCATCATGCACCCCGACGCCTGGTTTCGCTTTCCGCACGGGACCGTCACCGCCGAGCAGCTCGCGAGCTCGCGCGCGATCCTCGAGCGCGACGCGCACACGACGCTCGACAGCGTCGCGACGGCCGTGGCGCTCGCGTGCGGCGTGACGCTCCTCGCCGGGCCGATCGTCTTCTTCCAGGGCGTCTTCGACAAGGTCGACTCCGCGGCCCTCGACCTGGCCCTCGATGCGCGGAAGACGCGCGGGCGCGCGTGGTGGGATGCGCTCACGCCGCAGCAGCAGCTGGACCGCATGCAGGGCGCGTGGGACGGCCGCGACGACTGGTGGGACGCGCTCTCGGAGACGGAGCGGCGCGACAAGGTGAAGCTCATGCTCGACGGCCGCGACGACTGGTTTAACGGGCTCTCGGAGACGGCGCGTCAAGCTCGCCGAGACGACATCTCGTCGAAGATGATCGGCAACACGAACAACACGCGGTCGACGACGGAGCACACCAAGGGATGCCCCAACCCGAACTGCCCGGAGCAGTTCCACACGACGGACGCGCACGCGAGCCGCGCCTTCCAGGCCCACTTCCGGCGCGAGAGCTGCCGCCCCTGCGTCGCCTTCGTCCGCGCGGCTATCAAGGCCGGCGACCCGCACGGCGTCCTCTGGGGCTGGCGGCCCGGGTTCCGGTCCAAGTGGCCGAAGTGGATCTCCCCCCCCAAGAAGAAGTAAGTGATTGAGGGAGCTATTCAATGTTCCCGCGTATCCGTGTCACCCGGTGTCACCCACTCCCAGCCACAGAAAACCATCGGAGCACTTGAAAACCGCCCCGTTTTCGCAGCCGAGATGAAAGAAATTATTGCAGAGGGGCAGCGCCTGCGGGACGACTGAGGCATGCTCTTGCCGCTTTGAGCCGCTGCTTCAATCGTTGGAGTCGCGGGCCCGTCATCGCGGGGGTCTTCCCAGGCGCGGCGGCTCCCCGGCGTCGCGCGGCGGCGTTCATCGCACCGCGCGGCGCGTCTTCGACGGTCTAGGGCATGGCTGCGCCGGCTCCTGCGCCGACGGCGCCGCCGACGAACGCGACGCCACCCGCGCCCGCGGCCCCCGTCTTCGTGGCGCCGACGCCCGAGGAGATCGCGATGGCGCACGCCCGACTCGTAGGGCTGGTGAACACGATGTCGGAGCGCTCGTCGGGCGGCCGAAGCCGCGGCGGTCGCTACCTCAAGCCCGACACCGCGCGGAAGCATTTCATCTTCCACATCGCCTTCGAGAACCTCCAGCGCGGCGTGCTGCCGACGCCGCACGACTTCGACATGCTCTTCGGGCCCGCGCCCGTCATCAACGTGCCCTCGACGCCTGAGATGCAGCGGTGGATCGACGAGCGTTCAGGTTGGCGCGAGAAGGCGAGCACGCGCGAGCTGCCCGCCTCGGGCGAGCAGACGCTCCTCGCGAGGTACTTCAGCGTGGGGCCCCGCGCCTCGACGCTCGCGCGCGCGGGCGCGCGCCCCGGCCGGCCGCCGGACTACGTCTTCGACTTCGGCAACTTCGAGGGCGTCGCGTTGAAGAAGATGTTCCTGCGCAAGACCGTGGCCAGCAAGCCCTCGACGAACCGCGCGACGGGCGAGGACTTCTGGCAGCATGGGCCCGACTACATCAAGTGGCTCGCGGGGGACGAGTTCGATTGGCAGTTCCCGAAGCACACGCTCATGTACCTCGAGCTCAAGGCGAGCATCGGCCGGCCCCTCGAGCTCTCCAACAGCATGTGGCTGCTGCCGGACCTGCGGCGCGCGGCCGCGGCCTTCGACGAGTACATGAAGGACGCGTTCCCGTCGCTCGGCGCGCCGTCTCCGGAGCCCGCGACGCCGTCGCAGCCCATCTTGCGCTGGCTGAGGCCACAGCTGGGGCTCGACCTCGACGTGCTGGGCTTCGACGCGCTCGACGTCGACGTGCCGGGCTTCGACGCGCTGGGCTTCGACGCGCTCGCGTCGAGCTCGACCTCGGCGCGCGCGGCTTCCGGGCGCTCGGCTTCCAGGCGCTCGGCTTCCAGGCGCTCGGCTTCCAGGCGCTCGACCTCGACGTGCTGGGCTTCGACGCGCTCGACGTCGACGTGCCGGGCTTCGACGCGCTGGGCTTCGACGCGCTCGCGTCGAGCTCGACCTCGGCGCGCGCGGCTTCCGGGC